TGCAGCCCGGCGCTGGCGGCGCGGCGGCCTTTGTTCCCGCTGACAGCTGGGGCTGCGCCGCAGCCCGCGCGGGGTCCCGGTGCCGGCTCTGCGCTCCCGCTCCCAGCAGACCCCGCCGGGCGGCCCTGCCCGCTGGCCTTTCCCCCTCGCCTGTCTCGCTTGCTCCGACGGCTCCGATCGTGCTCGTACCTCCTTTTCCCCTTTCGTTGCCCGCACTGCGTCCTCGCTCTTCCTTTCTCCTTTATCCATTCCTCCTCCTTTCCCAGGACCGTCCCTCCACCCACACCCCACCCCGCGAAAGGCTGGATTTCTGGGTTCGAGGACCGGACCGGCAGCCCGGGGAGGGCCTGGCTTCCCCACGCCGGGATTACTGTCTGCAGCCCGGGGCACCTGCACTCCCACGCCGAGACATTTCAAAAGCGAACTTCTCCGGCTCCTTCCCAGGGGCTGAGATTCAGGTGAAAGCTGATAGCTTTCAAGTTTATAGCTATTAATCTTACCCAGTCCCCTTCTAACACCGTCATTTTCAGCACCACCCTCACTTTAACGCCTAGCAATTGAGCCAGGAGGGGAACCGAGCTTACAGGTTTGGGTCGCACAAAGGGTCAGTTAAGCGGGGTGCCAGGTGCAGCAGGGGGCTCGGGCCGGAGGGTGCGCTGGGGCTGATCCGCGAAAACCAGACGTGCTCAAGGAGTGTCAGCCTCAGCCTGAAAGAGGTGTGTGTGGAGGGGAGATGGGGGGCATACGGTCGAGAACACAGCCCAAAGGGAAACAAACCGCTTCGTTTCTACCACTCCCCTTCTCGAAACCCTGTTGGGGATCCTCGCTGCCTCCAGGTCTTGACCCTGAAGACTCCAATCCTCAATTCTAGGCTTCCTGGAAGGCAGCACAGCAAAGGTTTTGAGGAAAGGGACTTCGTTTCTTATCATCTGAGCCAGTGCCTTAATCTCCCTGTATCTCAGTTTTTTTCATTTGTAAAAAGAGGTAACAATTCCCCAAATGTAAACTTCCCCTGGCACAGGAACTTCTCTTTTGTTCATGGCTGAGGGACTTGGTCTGTTTTGTTCATAGATGTAACCGCAACACCTGGAATGTGCCACACACACAGTAGACACTCAATAAATATTTGTTAAATGAATGAATTCCTCGTTTTTACGTTTGTTGTGAGGGTGAAATGAGAATCCCTGACCCGTGTTAGGTACATACACAAGAGAACGATTGCAAGTAATACTACAACTGTCTATGTGTCAGCTTCAGAGGACTCAGTCTTCTCAGAATCTCCTTTTTTCCACCTGTGTATACCTGCCTCTCAGCACAAAAAGCCCTTCTCCTGCTCCTCTAACTCTACCTCTCAAAATATGGGACCTAAAATGCAATCCTAACTCACACCTTCTCTGATCATTCAAGTCAGAATGAGGTCTCCTTCCTCTAAAGCCCCACGTTTCCTTGTTTCCCATTCATTAACACAGCACGTGTGCACTTGCCTGCAGGTGGGACTGTCTCAGGAATTTTTTCTGAATGGGTTGGTATAGATCAAGCATTCCAGCACCTGAAAGAAAGGGGACACTCTTGGAAGGTGTGGGATCACGTGGGCTTCAGACTTCAGTCAAATTTGTTTTTGTATCTTCAGATGTGGAATTCTGGGGAAGGAGCAAAGGACTCTGGAATCCTATTCCTGGTTCTAGTCCAACCCCTGGCTATTTATATAGCCATGGACAAGCCATTCCTTGGACAAGCCATGTCCCTGTCTAGGCCTCAGTTTCTTCACCTGCAAATTAGGTGGTTTGGATGAGATACTCTTTAAGGAACCTCCTTCAGTATTAACATCTCTGTCAGATACATTCTAGGTAGAAGATTGGGTGCGATGTGCAGCCCTCCTATAATGATTGAATGTGAGCAGGGTGTGAGCAGTGTGTTGGTGTCTATGAGGGATGGAACTGGGATGCACTATGGAAAAACAGAAATATCCTGTGGAAGGAATGTTAGAGATAAAGTGGAGAGCATTGATGATGGGAGAAGAAGTGAGAAAGCAGAATAGGGGGAGGAGGCCTGTGATGAATCGCACAGCATGTGTGTGGTGTGGGTGTGCGCATATATGTGCATTGAAGCCTCAGGAATGTGGTCTCCAGCGGTACACAGCCATAATTAGCAACCTGATTCAACCATTGGGTATGGTAAAGCAATGGCTGGGTATGTCTACCCCAGCACCACTGGCGAGATTCTCAGTGACTCCTCTTCTTCTTTGTCTAGTGAGGGAGCACTGCCCTTCCTGGGCATCTGGGTTCCTGAGAAGGTGTCCCTGAGAAGGTGTCCCATGTGGGCCTGTGCATCTCTCAGGCTCTCTCTTGACTGAGTTGAGTATAGAAAGCTGGGTCACAAAGCATGTTCTTGTAAAAATCCACTGCCCTCCTCATCACCTGAGATATAGGGCTTACTGTACTGGCCTGTTATACTTTTCTTTATCTCTAGGACCTAAAATTGGCCACACAGGACCAGACACATTCATGGGTCAGTTAAGCCAGCAGCTTGTCTAGATTACAAACAACTCTGCTTTCTTCAATGTACTTCCACCTATCACGATCTGAATAATTGCCTTCTTGTTTGTCTCTTCAACTCTTCTGTAAGTTTCTTGTTCAAAGACTGTCTTATTCAACATTGAATTCCCAGAACCCAGCAGCGCTCAAATCATACCTGAATGAATGCCATGGGAAGAGGGGTCAGGATGATGTTTCAGAGAGAGGAATGGACCCAAATTCAAAAGATCCACATCTATTCCCACTTCTTCAAACTTATGGTACTGTCACAACCTTTTTGAGACTCAATTTGCTCATCAGTAAAATGAGCCTCACATTTGCTCTCTCTTGTGCCAGTGATGCAAAGATAAAAAGAATTAATAAAGTTGAAGATGGCATAAAAAATATAAAATATCAGAAATAGTTTAATATTATTTCAAGTCTAAAAATCTAGGGCCTTGTGTTGGAAGATACGAAAAACTAACTATATTTAAGTGGAGTTGGGTAATCTCCAAAATGTGATGAGAAAATTTTATAAGTCTAGAACACTGAGCAAAGCTTTAAGGGATCAATAGGCTGCCGCTACTCCATCTCCCAGCGACTCCAGGAAAGGACCAGGAAGGCTGGTTTACCTACAGGCTGAACCAATGCCTCGTGACCTTAGAGGATGTCTCGTTAGTGTCCTGTCTCTCTCCAGGGTAGAAAACTGTTCCTCTGGAGTTGCTCTGGATGACAGGCTCTTATATCCAGAATTTACATTTCTTACCTGTAAGTCCCTGGGCACCTTGCACCTCTCATTTCTGGGCTTCAGTAAGCTCTACCTTGAATCAGAAGAAACATTTCTTCTCTGCCTTCTCTAAGTATTATGAAGACAAATGAGATAATACTCCAGTAGTATTTCTGTATTCCTAGAAAGTACCGCATGTCTTCAAGGAATTGTTTATCATCATCTCCATCATCATAACAAGAATTATTATCTATAACTTCATTCTAAGTACTTAACCTCTACTCAGGTTAGGGACACCACAGAAATTATAATGGGAGCAAACACCCTTAGGTGCCCTTGGAGAACTTGCTGACATCAGAATTTCGATCTAATGAGGACCCCTCCTCACTAAGATGCTCTGGTTACCTTAGAAAATATTTCCACCTTTCTCTTTCAGTGACAGGACAACTGAATCAAAGAGCAAGATATGAAATTGGCCCAGTGTATCGGTCCCTTTCTGTTGTTTATAGAAAAATATAGGGCCGGCCTGGTGGCACACTGCTACAGTGCTCCGCTTGGGGGCGTGGCGACGCTCCCACCAAGGGTTCGGATCCCACATACAGACTGGTTCCCGCTCACTGGCTGAGCGAGGTGCGGACGCAACGCCGAGGGTTGTGATCCCGTTGCCGGTCCCGGTCCGGTACGGGAACGACACTGAGGGTTGCGATCCGTTGCCGGACACGAAAAAAGACAAAAAAAAA